TTGCTTCCAGATTTAATCTCATTAGTACTTTTTTTCCTTTTTTTACTAAATTTTCTGAAGGGAAGATGCCCCCAAACCCCCGTAGTATTAGCATGCTTTGCATGCTGAATGTGCTTCGCACGATATGTGTTGTCTTTTGAGCTTACAAATTATAACCCTCCCTCTCAAAGATTCTGCGCACGGGCCTGCATATGTATATATATTGTTACGACAGCAGAAGTGTTTTGCGCCCTGCTTGGGAGAAGGTGTCTAGTCTAAGACCTGTGACAAAGAACTATTGAGCACAATGGGACCAGTTGAAGCTTGAAGATGGTATTGAAAATGGTTATACTGCGTCAATACCATGATAGTTTAACAAGAGGACATATCGGAGTTAAGAAAACATTGAGTCACCTATGACAGAGATTTTACTGGATAGGTATGAGGCAAGATGTGGAAGAATGGTGCAGGACATGCAGTACATGTTTTGCTAAAAGGGGACCTAAAAATAAGGGACGTGCTCCAATGAAGTTATATCAAGTTGGTGCACCAATGGAAAGAGTAGCCATTGACATTGCTGGTCCTTTGCCTCAAACTCGTGCTGGAAACAAGTACATTTGTATGGTGATGGATTATTTCATCAAGTGGCCTGAGGCATATGCAATACCAAATCAGGAATATACAACAGTAGCTTTGGCTATTAGTGATTTCTTCTTCTTCAGATTTGGTATGCCATACGAACTGCATTCAGATCAAGGCCGTAACTTTGAATCAGCTGTGTTCCTAGAATGCTGCAAGTTGTTTTGGCATCCGAAAGACCAGGACAACGCCACTTTACCCACAGTCTGATGGGATGGTAGAAAAGTACAACTGGACACTGGGTCAGGAATTGGCAAAGTTTTGTAATAGCCGCCAAGATGGCTGGATTGTCTTACTCCCTCCACTGTTGATGGCCTATAGAACAGCAGAGCATGGAGACACTGGATACACTCCAGCAAAGTTGATGTTTGGTCGGGAACTTCGGTTGCCAGTGGATCTGTTAACAGGACACCCACCTTATGGAGAGTTGCCTGAAAATGTGTCAGAATTCGTGAAATGTTATCGGAAAGGATGGATGATATTCACCATCAAGTGCGTTCAAACTTGAAAACGTATGTTGATTTGATGAAGTTATCTTATGATAAGAGATCTACTGAAGTCAGCTTTGTATCAGGAGACAAGGTATGGTTGTATAATCCCAGGATGACCAAAGGGACGTCTCCCAAGTTGTCATCTCCATGTGAAGGCCCATAAGACGTAGTGGATCGTCTCTCAGACGTGACTCTCCGGATAAAATGTGGTCGGCGAGGTAAGCCAAAAGTGATGCATTCCAACAAGCTTTGGCGTTATCACGGTCCAGGACATTTCAGTTGGGACGAAGTGAACAAAGGAACAAATGACGCTGCTGAAGAGGTGTCACCTGAAAAAGTCAACATCGAAGAATAAACTCTACTCAATTTTGAGAAGGGAAACGATGAAGCTCTTGATGAAGTTACTACCATTGATGTGACTGTTACCGATGATGGGACATTTACTGATGAAGCAGATGAACCACACATGCAGCAGAAGCCAACGAGACGGAGACGAGTACAGAAGAAGATACGTCCCGTAAAATTAAGAGACTTTGTTGAATTGTAATTTTGTGTTTGTAATTCTGTACATTTTAATTAAGTTATTGTTATTGGTTTATTGTATGTGGTTATTGTTCGGGACGAACAATACTAAAGAGGGGGCAGTGTTGCGTCAGCGAGGTCACGTGACTAGTGTCACGCCACGTTTCTAGAACTATCCTGTTCCTTCGGGAGTGCTCTAGCATTCGCTAGATTGGGGATGGCCTGGTATATATAAGATGGTCACGGCGTGACGTGAGAATTCTGACTGCAGATCAATTACTCACTACCTACACACGAGTATTGTTGAAGTTCGTTAACAAACGCTATGAATATAACTTTACGATACACTTGATTTCAACATTCGCGCTAAATTTTATTAAGTAAAGACTTGTGTCGTTAAAGTTTGTTGGAACGAAGTTACGGAAAAATCAATTAACAAACGGAGACATAACATAGCGTATAGCCTGTGAAAAATGACGAGGTAAGTACTATCACCCCCACTCCATAGCATACCCTAACCTCACATTTCATACCTAACTAAAATAAATAAATTTTGCGAAGCAGCCAAACGTCGGTAAATTACTTTGTGAGGCAATCAAAATTAAAACCATTCATGAAATGAATTCGTGGCGTATTCATAAAATAATTATTGGTAAAAGTCAGTTAGATTTACAACTTTTGATGTATAGAAAAGTCAATGCGTTTTGGTAACACTACGTTCCAACAATGGCTTTTATGTAATGTCGCTTAGCAACAAAAGTATAACCTCATATTGTTGTTAATCTATGTACTGAAAGTATAAAATGAAATGTATAGATTGGAAAAATATTTGTTGATTTCTTGATTTAGAGTCTCCGTTGATTAAAGAGGTTTTTTTATTATTAAAAACGTTGGTGATATTACAGCTATTTAGCTTCATTCAGAAACGATTTAAATTTAAAATTGAATCGATATTCTTAATTTCATGATAAATTTTATGCACTTGGCTCTAGGCTAGGTGATCCCACACTATGTCTTTACTTTAGGCTTATTATACTGTTACGTCTCCGTTTGTTAATTAATTTTCCGTAACTTCGTTCCGACGAAACTTTAGCGACACAAGTCCTTACTTAATAAAACTGGTTTATTCTTTGCTGGTTTATTCTTTCCGAATATAACTTAACCGATACACTCAACAATCGCGCTAAACAAACGCTATAGCAACGAACGTCAATAACTACTCCGACCGCAGATCAATTACTCACTATCTACACATTACATTCCCATCTTTTATACCAGCGTAACCTATTTCTAGTAAGACCTTGAACATTCGACAAAGTACATGATAATTCTAGAAACGTTGCGTCACGTGGTCATGTGACTCGCTGACGCAACAGTATTTATTTTTGACAAGATTGAAAGTTATCTTTTGTTGTAAGTCAATAGTATTAGGCTTATTGCATTTTGAAACTCTACATTCTTTGTTCGATCCCCCTTTATGATTTCTCTGGGAAGATGAGTGTATATAGTATTTCAATTAAACACATTTTGACTGCCATTTCCACTGCTGATGACATCTTTCAATTAATAACGGAAATCATTAGGCCACCTGGGATACAACAAACAGAAGTTGTCGAAACACTATTTATATAAGCCATTTGTTAGAATGACAATCGTTATGATGTGAACGGATTATGCTGTTGATGCATGATAATAATAAATCATTTGTCATAAGAGAATGGTATTAACCATTTTCTATTTTTAAACACTACATTCTTTCTTCAGTCCCATCAAGATTTTTCCTAGAGAGCAAGTATATAATAGCACTTCAATCACACCGTATCCACTATGGTTGAAATATTACTATACAATCCTCTTCTCAGAAAAATAATGTATGTAGTATTTAAAATATAATAAACCTAATACTACTGATTAAAATCAATAATTATAGTCTGTTTCACTAACAGAATCAAGCCATTCAGACCATATGGTTGAAAATTGTCGTTTCTTCCAATATTATCACACATGCATAAATAATCAAACCACGGGTAACTGGATATAGACAAAGAGAAAAGAATAAGAATTAAATGAAAAGATGCAATTCTGACTGAAGATATTCTTGAGTGATGAAAGAAGAGCAGTGTAACTATGAAACTATTCAAAACCTCTCTACTGAAATGGAAAAACAAATAATAATAATATTTAAAGTTAAAAACGAGCTATTTTGTTTTTTCAATACATATGTACCTACGTACTAATAACCATAAAAATGAACATGCTAAAGAACTCTTAAAACAATTATTCTTTTTTTTTTTGCACACATGTCAACTAAAGAAGAAATAATAATTCAGTTTTATATTCCTTTTCCTTGCCTAACCATTGTTTTTATCATAGCTTAACATAATTTCACAATTAACTGTTTAAAAATATTTATAATGTTTAAAGGATGATCCAGCAAGTACATTAAAATCTATTATATAACAACATTAAAAATGATAGGAACCTTTAACTTCTATGAAGATGAAAGATAGAAGACTTTCGAAATATCATCCTCTACATTTGTATTTTTTCTACAACTGGCAGGTGCTATCCATTTCAGTGTACTTATCATGAACACTCTGCCTAAATAATCTATCAAAGATTGAGGTTGTTGTAAATTTACTACTTCAAATGTAAGGCCACCATAGCATAACTACTTACAATGTAAGAATGAGTGAATGAAATTTCTTCTTTTTCCTGCTTTTGTTCTTTATAAATAATCTGTTCTCTGTTGGCAAATCTATAAAAATACAAGTAGGAATGGAAACTATAAAATCATCCCTCAGATATCTAACTTTAACATAAAAACAACTTTCATGTATATCGATTCAATTCTTGCTTGACCAGTACCTTTTTCTATTCTCGTAATAAAAAAAATAAAAAACTGTAATATATATTAAAATATACCAACAATTACTTGTCTTATTCTATAAATAAAGAGCAGAATAATAAAAGCTTCTACAGAAATAAATATACTGTATGATTGATAAGTTATCACATATTTTCCATATTGCATTGTTATTTTCATCATTTAAAAGTCTCTCTTACTTTTATTGTAGTCTGAATATACACATATGGTTATATTTGCAATATAAAACATATGCTCATATATGAAATACAGATGATAGGTTAACTTAAGTTTATTAGTTTGAAAAGGCCTTGTTAAAAAATACCTTTAAAAACCAAATTGATTCTGATTTAAACCAAAAAGAATATTTTTCATACAAGACACTAAACTGGTTTTGTGTTTCACAACAACTACTTACCCTGTTATAGTAATATCAGCTAAGGCCTTAAAAGGAAGGGTTAAAACAACACGGTTATCATCTGATTTCATCTCAGTACTGCTTGTCTTGGCCACAAGTTCAAAGCTTAATTTTTCAATATCATTTGTAACTCTACTTGTGTCTAATTTGATCTGAAATTTCACCTAAAAATAAAATTTAGAATTTCTATTATTTTAAACTGTACTATTTTTTAAACTCCAAAAAATTAATCCATTATTTTACATTTTATTATTTAATGCACAATTATTGAGATATGTATAAGATTACATTTATCACTTAAGTTATTAGAAAAAAGTACAGTTTAAAGAGGCCTATAATCATGGGCAACATATCTCTGCCACACAATTGAAACATCAAAAAATAAATTAAGTATAAAGATTAGTCACACCATGCAATCCTTGCAAAGTGCATGGATACTTTGTTTGTTTTCAAATACTGCAAAGCTACTCATGGGCTATCTGCACTAGTCCTCCTTAATTTTGAACTGACAGACAACAGGGAAGGGAGCTAGTCAAGAGCAATCACAACCAACTCTTTGGCTACTGTTGTCTGACTGAATAGTGGGATTTGACCATCACTCTTATAATGCACCCATGACTCCAAGGTGGAAAGCCAGATGTTTTTTGATGTAACAGGACTGGAATAATAGATCCACAGATCTATAGTCTGTCAAACTAACAACAGGGCCAAGCTTAGCCCTGAATGAGTAAAGAAATGTTTTTAATGGGCAAATACTTTATACTTTTTATTCTCAAAATATTCCAAAAACCACACTAAACAATTCATGCTACATATTTGATAAACTTACTTTGTTTTCAGGCAGTGTGCAAACCAAAGAGTATTAGTTATAGAACATTCCCTGAAACTCTAATTGCCACTGATGATAACCTTATCAATATTCATTTTCTAAGTATTCTGCTACATAGAATTTTAACTTACAGATGACATTTGCCCTATTCATAAATTATAGTTATTGCTTACATAAATATAACAACTAACCACATAATATCTAAGATCACAGTGTTTAGAAATAAGAATATTCTTAAAACTAGCTTATTTCATTATTATGTACAGTGGTGACATATTCATTCAATCAGTTTTTATTTATACATTACCAAATACACAGTATTTTATTGTTAAATACTAAACACTAATCATGTGATAATTTAGTTCCCTCAAATACAATTACAAATATAATGAAGAGTTTTATTGCACAAGTTTATGCTTCAGTCAACATAGTAATTTGGTTTTCGTACACGATTCCAAACAATACACAATTAATTTGATAATATCATTACAAGTCTCTACAATTAATACATAAGCCTAACTTACCTTCTGTCCATTTCCAAGAGGATTTCCAACATTGCATGTCAGCCCACTACTACTGTTTGAATCCTTTTTATCATGGATGTAACAGTTTGCTTGATTAATAATACCTACATCTGGTGGTAACATAATTTCTACCACCGTTTGGTAAGCTGGTTCCTGACTACTGTAGACTTCTACATTCAATGTAAGGCTTGTGTTTTCTCCTATAACAAGAATTTCATTCTCCCTAGCATAGAAAAATAAACTTATCAGTAATGTTTCTAGCAAGCTTATGTGCCTTATGTACAGTTAAGACAAATATGCTTTTCTCTCTATATATACAACAATTTTTAAATTAACATGTGTGCTTAATATTTTACATCAAAATATATTATCAGCTAGAACATGTTTTATATCAAAATGTGTAAGTTTATACTTTAAATAATTTCCTTTAGAGTAGTTAGGTAAGTTCCACAAGATAACAGGAGGTTCAGGCAGAAAATTTATTTAAAAGTTAAACTGAGTTCTTCTGATTTTGACCAAGTTTAGAGTAAAGAATGAGGCCAGACACAAGTCCAACACTGAAAACAATTTCTATTCAACACTTTAATGCTATTAAAATCTACATGTGTACAAAACAAAATACAGCACCTTTTCTGGATAGTTAACTCTCTCAAAACTATCCTTAGAACTTCTTATGAAGCCTGAGAAGAACTAGTTAACTTTAATTGTTAAACTTAAGTGACAATTTTACTAGTTAAACAAAGAGCTTAAACATTATTTTTCAGACTGAGGGCCTAAGTTTGAGAGACAAAGATGAGGAGCTAACTGAGAGAGCATAGCATTATATACAAAATTACCTAATGCCATTTCTCTTAAGACACAAGTGCTACCTATGTCACTTTTGGTCATCCTAGTAGAAAAATATGGGATTATGTAACCTCAAGGTATCACCGGACCTGCTAGTGTAAAAGATCACTGTCTATTTTCAAATAGAAAGTGCAGCTTTACAGAAAGCTCTCCCATATAAGAATGCACTCATGATGCCATGTATAAATGAACCAGAATAAAGAAGTAACTAAGGCAAAAGGTACTTGGCTACTTGGAAAATCTTCACATGAACTTTAGGGGTTCACTTTACTAAATACAAAAGGTGGCAAATATCTAGTATGCCTGCATACACAATAATGAAACATGTTTTCTTTGGCTTTATATATATATATATATATATA